CTAAAGTTGAGAAAGAAGATTAGAGTCGCCCTTCTATTTTTCGGATGTTGGTTCGTTGTGGAGATCAACACGTTCGATTCACCTAGGGTCCTCCAGGTGAGATAAACTCGCCTCGCCTCGCTTCTCGCCTAGGCGAGCTTTTCAAAACGCTGGGCGTATCCTTACAACCCCTAAAGTTGAGAAAGAAGATTAGAGTCGCCCTTCTATTTTTCGGATGTTGGTTCGTTGTGGAGATCAAACCCGTAAGCTTATTATTGACGATGGCAGTTGCATGAGCGTTTTATCATCATCCACGGTTGAGTATCTCAAGCTTTCCATTCAACCAAATCCTCAGCCATATAAGGTAGCTTGGATTGATAGCACTTCTATTCTGGTAACTCAACGATGTCTTGTCTCTAATTCTTACGGTTCATATAGTGATTCTACTTGGTGTGATGTGATTCCTATGAAAGTTACTCACATCCTCATTAGAAGGTTTTGGCTTTATGATAGAGATGTTCATCACCGTAGGAAATAAAATACATAACCTTTCTCATTTAACAACAAAGAGATTGTTTTGAAGCCGTTGACTACAGCTGAAATGGAGAAATTCAAAGAAAAGAAGCAGAAAGATGATGCTGATGTTGAGCCAAAGTTACTTCATGTTCTCACCAAGAAGCACTTTCCACGGGAGAGCATGGAACTAGGGGTCCTATATGCTGTTGTGATGAAAGAAGTATAAAAAACAGAAGTTGTTTTATCCACTGCAATACCACCGGAGGTGACTGAGCTGCTATCTCACTTCTCTGATGTTGCACCTTAAGAGCTACCAAATGAACTTCCTCCAACGCACAATGTATAGCATGCAATAGACCTCGTTCCAGGGTCACAATTGCCTAATCTTCCAGCCTATCGCATGAATCCAAGTGAACATGCAGAGCTTAAAAGGCAAGTAGATGAACTGTTATCCAAGAGATTTGTTCGTAAAAGTTTAAACCCTTGTGTTGTCCCCGCATTGCTCAAGCCAAAGAAAGATGGCAGTTGGCAAATGTGTGTTGACAGCCACGCTATAAATAAGATCACAATCAAATACTGATTTTCCATTCCAAGGCTTGATGAAATATTTGATATGTTGACTAGTTATTGCATATTTTCAAAGATATATATAAAAAGTGGATACCATCAAATACGCATAAGACCAGGAGATGAATGGAAGACAGCTTTCAAGACAAGGGATGGGTCTATGAATGACTAGTTATGTCATTCGGTCTTACAAATGCCCCTAGTTCCTTCATGCACTTTATGACACATGTATTACAGTCATTTATTGGTCAATTTCTAGTTGTATACTTTGATGATATTCTAATATATAACAAGACCAAGGAAGAACACATCTTTCATCTTCAATAAGTTTTGAGGGTTCTCTGCCCCAAGAAGCTCTACATGAATTTAAAGAAGTGTTCTTTCATGAGCCCAAGTGTTCTGTTTTTGGGCTTTGTTGTTTCCTCTAGAGGAGTGGAGGCTAATCCAAGCAAGGTGAAAACCATTCTAGATTGGCCAATTCCTAGTTCCTTGCATGAAGTATGAAGTTTTTATGGGTTGGCAATTTTTTATCGTCGTTTTATCAGGAATTTCAGCACAGTTATGGCACCTATAACCAACTGTATGAAGGTGGGACAGTTTGTTTGGACCAAAGCAGCAACAAAGGCCTTTGAAGAAATAAAGAAAATGATGACTGAAGCTCCTGTACTACACCTTCCTGATTTCTCAAAGGTGTTTGAGGTGGCTTGCGATGCATCCCATGTTGGGATTGGAGGTGTGCTTACTCAAGAAGGGCACCCAACTGCTTACTTCAGTGAAAAGCTCAACGAAGCCAAGCAAAAGTACTCTACCTATGACAAAGAATTATATGCAATAATACAAGCACTTCGATATTGGCGCCACTATCTTCCTTTTAAGGAGTTTGTTGTATTCCAACCATGAAGCACACAAATACATTAACTCCCAAAAGAAATTGAATCATCGGTATGGTAAGTGAGTTTCATTTCTGCAAGAGTACTCTTTTGTTATCAAACATAAGGTTGGTTATGAGAATAAGGCAGCTGATGCACTTAACCGAGTGGTGTATGTTCTTTCTTCCATGGCTATACAAGTTGTGGGTTTTGATTTGCTCAAAGGGGACTATCCTTCTTGCAAGGATTTCAGAGTTATACATGTTAAGTTATTGGCTGGACAGTAGGGAAGATATGATGACTTCTCCTTACATGACGGCTACCTCTTCAAGGGAACCACGCTTTGCTTACCCAACACTTCTCTTCGTGAACAAATAATTTGAGAATTACATTCTGGAGGGGCAGCAGGTCATTTTGGAAAAGATAAGACAGTTGCAATGACTGAAGATCGCTTTTATTGGCCAATACTGAAGCGAGATGTAACCAAAGTAGTTTCGCAGTATCGACCTTGCCAACTTTCAAAAGGAAGAAAGAAGAATATCGGTATATACACCCCACTACCTGTGCCACACGAGCCATGGCAGGATTTAAGTATGGATTTTGTCCTTGGATTGCCCAGAATCCTTCGAGGACACGACTCCATTTATGTGATTATGGATCGCTTCTCAAAAATGGCTCACTTTATTCCTTGTTTGAAGACATCAGATGGTATTCACATTGCTAAGCTTTTCTTTAAAAAAGTTATTCGTCTTAACAGATTACCTCGAACTATTGTATCTGATCGTGATGTGAAATTCGTAAGTTATTTTTGGCGCACTCTATGGAAGTTGCAGCATACAAGGCTAGAGTTTTCTTCCGCTTTCCACCCGCAAACTGGTGGTCAAACGGAGGTTGTCAACCGTAGTTTGGAAGACCTACTTCGCTGCCTTGTAGGGATCATGTTAGTAGTTAGGATCAAATACTTCCTATGTCTGAATTCGCATATAATAGCTATGTCAATAGATCTACAAGTCGCCGCCCATTTCAAATTGTTACTGGTTTGCTTCCTAGAAAGCCAATTGATTTGGTTTCGTTACCTATCGAGGCTCGCAAAAGTGCTGAAGCTAAATCCTTTAGCAAGCATATTTCTGATATACATACTGAGGTTCGATGAAAGATTGCCATAAGCAATGAGAGCTACAAACGACATGCAGATTTTAGGAGAAGGTTTGCTGAATTCAAGGAAAGAGACATGGTTATAATCCGAGTGAGGCCTGAGCGGTATCCTAAAAGTGCTTATAAGAAGCTTCATTCAAAGAGTGTTGGTCCATTTAAGATTCTCAATAAAATTAGCTCCAATGCTTATGTTCTTGACTTACCTAAAGACATGGGCATCAATAATGTCTTCGATATTGAGGACCTTACTAAATACCCTGGACACACTGACAATGGTGTACACTCTGATCCAATTACTTCTCTACCACAAGCCACATATTTAAGGGATGAAATTAAAGACGTGATTGATCATCAGATTGTTTCAACTAGAAATGGTGGTTATTAGAAATATCTCATTAAATGGAAGGGGCGTCCAATTTCATATTGCACCGTGATTACCGATGAACAGTTCCAACACCTCAACCTTGATCTTTAAGAAAAATTTCATTCTTTTAACTCGCCAAGGTCGAGTTCTATCAAGCCGGGGAGAGTTGATGAAAAATGACAACGTCCAATAAAGGTGTATAAAAGGCATGGGATGGATGGTTCTAAGGCCCAAGCCTTAATTTGGCATATGTTGGATGATGTTGGGCCCACTTGGGATTGACTAGACATAGGCTGATTTCTAAAAGTTTGCATGACTTTTTATTTGTCTTATGACCTTTCATTTAGTTACATTTACCGCAGGTTTTCTATGCATGTATCCACAGATTCATTCATTGTATCTAGTTTTTTGGGAGTTGAAAATTTTCAACATTAATTAGTTTCTAAAGTTCTATATATTAGTGTAAATTCAAGACTTTGAAGATGACAAATGAATATATGAAATTTTCATAAGCTTTTCTAAACTTTTAAGATTGTGTAATCCAATCCTTTCTTTGGTGTGATGCTAAAGAGCCCTTAGGTGAGATGCCTTAGGTTTCTAGGTGTGAGACCTAGAACTATCTTTTCTTCCTTCTAATTTTCCTTCTTGCTTTCTATCCCAATCTACTGTTCACGCCTACTATTCACAACCCCCTAAACAACCCTTAAACAACCCCTGTTTTCAGTATTTTCTCTTTCCTTAGCCGCTTTCCAATTCTATCCTACATCAGGACTTCTTCGCTCTTCCTCTGCAATTTTCAAAATACAAAAATGTGGCTGATGCTTCTGATACTCTGATGGATTGAATTTTCTAGTCTTTCTAGATAGTTGGACTTTGGGTTTGGTATATATTGGCTAAAGGGTTTGTTTTTGTCTTGAAGCTCGCAACTAAAGTTATAGTGTTATTGTTCTAGTAATCCCATGGCCTTCTATCATTTGGAGTTTTGCTCAATGATCTTGACTCTGTAGGGTACTGTTTTTGTGCATGCCTGGGGCATATTTGTGGAGGATGTGCAAACTTTTTCGGTCAACGATGCTAAACTTGCTGACGAAAAAATATATTACTATCATCTACTAATTTTCCCGAGAAAGTATTAGAGAACAAAAACATACCTTAACAAAGGGTTGTTTCTTCTATATGATTGCTTATGGCGGTTTATTGAATTATGAGTAAAGATGTAGTTGAAAATCATGAAATATCATGGAATAAGTTCAGAACAATGCACTTCAGACCAACTTTAAAAAGAAAAATTATAGAATTCTCATGGAATTTCTTGCTAGATCTGGATTTTTTCAAGTGGAAAGAAATCTAAAGCTCTGCTAGAAGCCATCTATGCAAAGACTATGGAGACCTCCAAACATTTGGACAGTGTTGAACATGTCAATCAATTGAATTAGATGTAACTGAAAATAATGCATCCAATATATATATTCACTGTTTCTACTGTAAATACTTCAACATAAACAAAATCAAGGTTTAACAATATAATTACAGAAGGTAGGAGAGATTACCCTCAAATTTTTCACTTCAACACTCCTGAATATATTGATGAACTGTTCTTCTGTTAGCCAGGAGCAGTCCTTTACACGTATCTCAGTTGGAGCTCTTCTCACAAGGAGGTCCAAAACGTGACCAGTCATTCCCCGATTATCACAGAGCAAGTCGGAAAGTCTTCGCTTCAGTGCATCTGGAACAGGTTCAAGTGAAACAATACACTCAGCATTTTTTGCAAGCACTTTCAAGGAAAGATCCAGAAGTGAAGGCACATGGGGGTTGGAAGTGTTAAATCCGTGATTTTCTGAGGGCTTCCATTGAATCAATTGTTGACCACGTCGCCTCAAATTTTGCTCTCTAAGCATCTTCAGCATAGTAGCAAAGGGGCTGTGCAAGTTCTCTGATTCAATGTCAGCCTCTAGGGGGGGCCCTTCCCTTTCTTGCTTAGATTCTTCATGGGAATCCTTCCCCTCCGGATTAAATCGTGCAAGTCCAGGAGCATAGCTCAAGATTTCACGGTGTCTAACTCTATCTGCCTCTTTTCTCAATGGTGGCACGTGGTGTCTAACTCTATCTGCCTCTTGTCTTAATATTGGTGCCACCGTCAAACTCATTACTGCCTTCTCTATCCTGAATTCAAGATTTTCACTTTCAAGAAGCTGCATAGTTTCTGCCGGCAGGCTGGTCTGTCTTAACTGCACAAGGCAAGTGGCAATATCTAACTCAATCACCTCTTTACTCTCAGGTTCCAAATCCAATTGCATTGGATCACTTGCAAGTGATAACCAAGAATCAGCGAGTTTCGCCTTCCCTTTCTCTTCTCTAGTGTATCTCCTCCCACAACCAAGTGAACTACTTCCATCAGCAACTGGGCCATTCTCCATTAATCTCAAATCAAGATCAGAACCTCCGGTACTTTCATAAGCAAGTTCTATCACAACTTCTTTTCCCTTTGCTCTGGCATCTCCCACATTAGATGACCTATCACCTTCATCCTCACTCTCATCAGATGTAATTTCAATAATTTCAACTCTCCTCTCAGAAGTCATGGGTCCTAGTTGCTTACATTCTTGACAACCCATTCCATTTCCAAAATCCCCTGCCTCCACAACTGGCACATTAAGATCTAAATCCAAAATTTCCTCCTTTTCTGCATCATCGGAAATCTCGATCACTTCCACCATTTCTCTCACATGATCACTTTTCTTATTTCCTTTGTCCTCTGTGTCTCTATTTCCACATCCTTCACCACCATTCAAAAGTACACCCTCCTCAGATGGAATCCCTAATTTTTCAAAATTCAAATCCCTTCCCTCAGTTTCTTTGATTTCACCTTTAATGCCCTCCTCTTCTAAGCCACTTACCATGTTTTCTTTCGCTCCAACTTCTCTGTCTGTGTCTTTAGTATGACACGCCTCACTTCCACTCGAAATCATATGTTGCTCTACTACATAACCCAATTCTTGTACACCCATTGTTCGATTCTCAATTCCTCCTACCACCTCTTCTGAATCACTTTCCTTCTCATGAATCAAATCAACGACTCTACTTCCCTCCCTAATTTCTTCCATTCCTTTGACACCCATTACCTGGTCCCGACTTCCATCATTATCTCTATACTCAATATCCACACCAACTTCTTCTTCTTGTAAAGCTCTATTTTTTTCAACATCCGTAGCAGAAACCCTAATTTTCTTCACCCTCAGCCTTTCCCCGCACTCAGAACCTGAATTCCCATCATTCTTTACTTCGCTGGCTCTCTTCATGTCAACCCGATTACTAGAATTCCAAGTCTTTCCCCAATTTTCTACTCCGATCATTACCATAAATCCGATTGGGAAGCCCAGAAATCAAGGTCTTCGATCAGAAATACCAAATACTGATTAGGGATTTTGCTCACTTCACCCAATCACAGTGGAGATGAGAGAGAAAATAGGGAAGTCGGGATGGAAAAAGTGTATTGGGTTCAATCGGTTCTTTTATTAGGGTTTTTTGAGGGTATTTAAGTAATGTAGAAGGAATAGTCTGTAGAGAATCTAAAACCGACATTGACGAAGAAGATATGTGTTGATTTATAACGGGAAAAGATTTAAAAAGATAAAGACAGAGTTTAGAGAAAGAGAAAAGGATAGTGCACTCACGCAGAAGCTGCACGTTTTGGAAGGGAGTTTTTCTCGGTACAACATGGAAGTCAGCTTCCCGCTGAAAGTTCAACTACTTCGTTAAGAGTAATGTTGCATGGTTAAAAAATAAATTTGATAATTATAATAATTATAATTATCAAATTTATTTTTTAAATTATGTAACATTGCACTTTTTTTAAACAGACAGTTTTAACATCGTTCCACAACAATACAAGAGCAAGATTGCATGGGAGGGAGGGCCTATTTAGATGTCTTGTATTTTAAATTGGCCACAATGGCCTCACTCGATAAACTAATGCACTATTGGTGCACCAATATTCCATAGGGCTAAATGTTTTGTTCATGATCCATTTGGGTCAATTGGAGTAGGAAATCTATCCACTAGTTGAATAAGTCTCATACAGATGATAGAGTGGTAGGGAGTTTGAATTTTTATAGAATTTCTAAGAGATTTTATTGGTAATTGGTTGCTAACTTTTAGTGATTGTTATTTGTTTCTGTTAGAGTTTTTTTCTATTTAATGTAAGCCTGGTTGTGAAAAGAGGGCAAGCAGAATTTTTTTCCAACACTTCTTTGTGCCATTGGAGGCTTTAAGTTTCCCATGAAGTAAACTTATTCTACTCATTCTTTTCCAGATTCCATATCAGTTCAACTCTCACTGTTTTGTCTATAAAAATTGGGAAGCAAAAGAAATATACTCCTTTGTCAGGCAACCAGCTCTCTATTCATAAACCAACCACCTACTCTGCCACCATGGAACGTAACAAATTGATATCAGAGCCAGGCATAGAGGAGCCAAAGTTACGTTGGAATGTTTGAAGATGGAGGTCAATTCTTTGACTACTAAGCAGGAAAGAATCCTTAAAGAAATGTAAGATATGTTCACAACCACGAATGCAAGGTTTGGCAATCTCAAAATCGTCCAAGTTCGCGAAGTTGGTGCAAGTTCTCTTGGTCATAATCAAAACACTAGCGGTTGAACCCATGGAAATGGAGGGACCAATCATGAAGGCTCCACCACCCAATACTCGCCCAAGCAAATGAAAATTGATTTTCCATGTTTTAATGGAACCAAATATCTGATGAGCCAGATTTGTTGGGCGAACCAGTTCTTTTGAGTTTCATCAAACACCCGAGGAGGAGAAGGTTCCATTAGCCTCCTTTAATCTGGAAGGTGATGCTCAGATGTGGTGTTAATTGTTAAAAGAAGAGACTCCTACCATCACTTGGGAAGACTTCAAACAAGGTCTTCACAGTAGGTATGGACCTACCCAATATCAAGACTTCTTTAGTTATTAACTAAGCTATTGCAAATTGTTTTGTAAGAAACTATCAGACCCAGTTTGAGAAGCTACTAATACGATCTGGGAGATTGACACCAGCACACCAAATTTGCTGTTTTGTTAATGGATTAAAGGAAAGCATCAAGACCGACGGACAAACTTGCAAACCTACAACATTATCTACTGCCATTAGCTTTGCAAGGCTGTATTAGGCTCGTAACCAGTCGGTTCGTCACGTCACCCAACCTAAAGTAAGAAAAGCAATTCCCAATCGTACTTCAACACCCAAAGCAAGAACCTTGCCTATTAAGAGATTGAGTCCAGTAGAACTCAAAGAAAAAAGAGACAAAGGGTTGTGCTTCAACTGCAATAAAAAGTTCGGGCCAAGCATCGTTGCCAAAAAGTTATTTCTAACTGAGGGCAGCTAGTTCAATGAGGAAGATTATGATATAAAGATGGAGGTGGCTAGAGCTGAAACACCTAAAAATTCCATTCATGCCAATGGCGTAAATCAACGTGGATGAGCAAAAGGTGCAAGTAACGTGAGATGAGCATGGATCAGAGCTTCAAGGCTCGTGTATGATGCTGCAAACTGATATTGAGGGGATTAAAGGGGTGTACGCTGTAAAAATATAGTGGTTTACTGGCTCAGAAGCTCGACTAGTCCACTCTTCAATGGAGGTTCTTGCTCATTTTCTTCTCTATTGATTAGTTGAATGTAATATAAGACAGCGCTAAACTGATTAGGGTTATTCTCCTTTTCTCTCTCTCTCTCTCTGTCTTTTTTTTCCGCCTCACGATGAGGCATTGCATGGTATTTATAAGGCTGCCTCCTATTCCATGGGATTTTAGCTGAAATCTTTGCCCATTATTCATGGGATCCTCCTTGATTTTAGGAGGGAATCTTGGTTGGTTGAAAGTTTCATGGATGGGGCCCAATTTCCGCAGTCACCCAGCTATTTCCTGGTCGGTTCAGTTATGATCTCCCCAATGGGAACTCCACCCCCTAGCTCTCTGAGTTCCTCGTGTCCTTCTTGACCTCCTGACCTGACCTCACAGCTAGGGCTTGTTTGAGGTATCATCAATTGCCCCCCAGCCCCTAGTTCAAGCGGGCTTGGGCAGGGGTTGAGTTGTTTTGTAAATCGAGTAGGATCTACACGTGGTTGACCTTGGCCCACATGTGAGTTTGGCCTTTTTGGCGACTTTCAGCAATCATGGCTTCCTCATTTCCCGCACACGTTTCAGTTCACGTCTTTCAGGCTTTAAATGCTCAAACGGCTATTTGAATCGCCCTATTCCACTGTTCAACTTCTCTGCCGCTTCTCTCTTCTTGCGATTTCTTGGCTTTCTGGTTTGGAATTCTCTGATTCCTCGTTCAAGATCAAGTTCTATGGATTCGATTTGAGGACTCACGTTGCCCTATTTCTTTCATTTCGCTCCAAGCTGTTATTCGTTGCTCTTTCCCCCCTAGGTACAACCTTCTATCCCTTTTTCATCTTTTCTCATTCTGGATCCCTCGAATTCGAGGTGGCCATTGCATTTCTGGGCCTTTCGGTTCTTTTACTTTTGGAATCGAAACTATTGTTTATCTCCTCTCCCCCATTTCGTGGACTGGTCTTCTATCGTGTGAATCCTTGCTATTGGAAGCTACTGCGCTGACCCTAAGGTTATTAGGGAGTGCTTAATCGGTATTCTCCCTCTCTACCGTTCTTTTAGTTTACCCTTCTCCTGTCCAGTCATGTCTACTTCTTCCAGAGCTACACACTCCTCTGCTTTTCTCTTGGGGGAAAGGTCTTCCGAAGAGGACACTGATTTATGGGATGTAGGCGAAGAAATCGACAACTTCCCCCATGTGGATGCTGTCAATGCCGAGAAAAATACTGAGAATCTATCCCCATCGTCTTCTTCTGTGTCCCCTAATCCTATCAAAGGTAAGGACAAGGTGAGTGGGATAGGAGTCTTTGACAGCGCAGTGGGCATAGGGCCCGCCTTTAGGCACGCCGAGCTCGTAGGACCCAGTGAGGTTGACTCTTCTCATGTGAGAATTCTCAGTGCTCGTTACGGTTTTCCTCACGGTGTCTAGCCCTGGTGTCCAGATAAATACACCTCATACGTTGTCCAAGTTCACAAGAGGGTATGTTTCTTTGTGGCAGCTTTTGAGAATAGCCTTCGTTTCCCTATGCATCCCTTCATCAAGAGTGTTTTGCAACACTTCAATGTCTGCCCTGCTCAGCTCTCCCCTAATTTCTGGGGTATACTTGTGTGTCTTTTGGTTTTCTTCAAGATTCATGGACTCGGGGTCCCCAGCCTTTCCTTGCTTGTGGATCTCTTTAATGTCAAGCTCACCTCATCGGAGGGTTTCTTATATATCTCCAAGCGAACCATGGCTAGGTAAATCATTACTCATCTCCCGAGCTCCCATAAGGGTTAGAAGAAACAATTCTTTTTTGTTGGGGGCACCAACTAAGAGTACAACCCTGCTGACAGGACTGATACTCTAGGTATCCCTAGAACTTGGTTTGCCCCTGATAACTTAGGTGAGCTCTTGCTCGAACTGATTGAGCTCTGGTTTGGCAATCGTTAAGTCACCTTTTTTACCTTTGCTCTCCTTGTGTTGTTTTTCAGGCATTCGACCCGAGCTCAGTGCTGAGGACAAGAGGGTAAAGCGAAAGTTGGAGAAGTGCAATCCAGAGAAGTACTCCAAGCTCATCAAGCCCTAGGTCTTAGTAACACAGGGATTCAGTCCTCCTGAAGTATTGATTGAAACTTCGTTCCCTATCTCAGTCGTTAGGCCTAAAGACATAGAAGGTAACACTTTCTGAGTTGGTTCCCTTGTCTTTTTTTCTTTTTTCCTTTCTCTTGTCTAACTTGCTTGGTCCAGATCTCCAGGCTCCTCCATAATGAAATCTACCCCTGAGGAGCTCAAAGCCAAAGTTAACCTACTGAAGAAGAGTAGGAAAAGTGGCAAACGGAAGGCCGATACCAGCTATGGAGGCAGCCCTGCTGACAGAGCTAAAGTGTGGAAACTGAGAATGCCCTCTTCTTCTGCCCTGAGCAAGGGAGGACAGACTCCCTCATCTCAATCTCTGGCCCCCTTCTCCTTTTAAAGGGGCCCAGTTTGCCCCCCCCCAAAGACTTCCGAGCTAGGGTTGGATTCCCTTACCTCTTCTGAGGTTGAGGGAACATTGGGGCTGATTACTGGATGCAAACCAGATTTTGCACCCCCGGACCGCCTGAGAACTCATCCCAGCTACCTCTACGGGGTCCCAAAGTCAAAAGGAGGGAGGGCCAGGAGACTGATGAAGATTTCTTAAAGGAGGGAGGGCTAGGAGATCGATGAAGATTCCTTCTTCGACAATGTTGAGTTGGCTGCTGGGCCCATTTCATCTATTCTCCCTG